CCCCCCGGCTTTGAAGGAAACCCTATACCACCTTGGGGTCAGTCGAAGGGGGCAGAGCTGGGCCGGGGTGCTTGGGGCAACCCTGTCTCCAGAGCCCGCCCCACGTTCAGGCACAGAGTTTCACAGCAGCTCAGCCTCACCCGGGCAGTGGCTGAGGCTCCCGTCTGTGGGCCCCCAAAGCACCACTGCAGTGCTTGGACAGGATTTCCTCCAGGAATGATCGAGAAGAGAGTACGTGCCTGTTTGTGACACATCTGACTTTTCCCTGAGCAACTGCAGAATTCTGACTGCCCCTAATTAGGCCACAGGCTCCGCTCACCTACAAGGGTCCTGGTCACCCTTCAGGTCTCTGCTGATAAGTCCCTTCCTCTGGGTGGCCTCTGCCATTCTTGTCACCCTCAGCTATTCACAGCCGTCTGACTGAACTGCCTGTCAGCTCATCTGCCCCTCTGATAGCTCAGTGAGGCCTCCCAGCACCCACACAGTAGGCGCCAGTAAGCCAGAATGAGCGAGGCATGGCAGACCCACATGGAGGCAGGAGGAACCATGGGCTCTATTTTACGAAGGGCGGCCATGTGCTCCTGGTTGCAAAAATGCAAGACCTCTGTCACTGCAAAAAACACAACCACTGGAAACTACCTCAGGCCACGTGGCAGGTTGGCAGTGGATCCCACACCAGGAACCCACCTCTTTTGACAACCTTTCCTTTCTTTTCTGTTTTCTTCTTGTTAATCTAATATGGACTGCGCCATACTCCTGGTTCACTCCAGCTCAGGAAATTCTTATTGCTGGGAACCTGTGAGATTTCCCCTCTATCCCAGACAGAAAGAGAATGTCCTCGGGAACAAACCCACACCAACATGACCCAGAGGTACATGGTGTTAGAATCTTTGGCCACTGAACGGTCTCCCCCCTGACAGTTGTTCAGGTAAGTGCTGCTAAGCCTGCAACTACTCTCGTGTTGTGTGGGTCCTCGGCTCTGTGTCCCTGGCTCTTTCACATACAGGCATACCTTGGAGATATGTGGGTTCAGTTCCAGACAACCAAGATAATGCAAATATCACAATAAAGCTAGTCACACAAATTTTTGGCTTTCCAGTGCATATAAAAGCTATGTTTACACTGTACTGTGGTCTATTAAGTGTACAATAGCATGTCTACAAACACAGCATAATACCTTAATTTAAAAATACTTTATTGCTAAAAAATGCAAACGATCATCTGAGCCTTCAAGTTGTAATCTTATTGCTGATGATGGAGCTCATGTCGCTGTTGATGGCTGCTGACTCATCAGGGTATGGATTGCTGAAGGTTGGGGTGGCTGTGACAATTTCTTAAAAAATAAGACAAAAATGAAGTTTGCTGCATTGATCGACTCTTTCTTTCATGAAAAATTTCTCTGAAGCATGGGATACGGTTTGATAGCATTTTACCCACAGTACAACTTCTTCCAAAATTGGAGCCGATCCTCTCAAACTCTGCCACTGCTTTGTCAACTAAGTGTATGGAATATTCTAAATCCTTTGTTGTCATTTCAGCAATGTTCACGGCATCTTCACCAGTAGATTCCATCTCAAGAAACCACTTTCTTTGCTCATGCATAAGAAGTGGCTCCTCATCCTTTCAAGTTTATCATGAGGTTGCAGCAATTCAGGCTCCGCTCTAATTCTAGTTCTCTTGCTGTTGCCACCTCATGTGCAGTGTGCCTTCCTCCACTGACGTCTGGCGCCCTTCAAAGTCACACATGAGGATTAGAATCAACTTCTCCCAAACTCCTGTTAATATTGATATTTTGACTTCCTCCCATGAATCACGAATGTTCTTAATGGCATCTAGAATGGTGAATCCTTTCCAGAAGGTTTTCAGCTGACTTTGCCCAGATCCATCAGAGGAATCGCTGTCTGTGGCAACTATAGCCTTACAAAAATACATTTCTTAAATAATAAGGCTTGAAAATAGAAATTACTCCTTGATCCATGGGCTGCAGAATGGATGCTGTGTTAGGAGGCACGAAAACAACATTAATCTCCTTGTACATCTCCGTCAGAGCTCTTGGGTGACCCAGGTGCATTGTCAACGAGAGGTAATATTTTGAAATGAACTTTTTTCTTATCAGTAGGTCTCAACAGTGGGCTTAAAATATTCAGTAAACCATGCTATAATCAGATGTGCTGTCATCCAGGCTTTGTTTTTCCATTTATAGAGCATAGGTAGAATAGAACTAGCATAATTCTTAAGGGATCTAGGATTTCTGGAATGGTACATGAGCACTGGCTTCAACTTAAAGTCACCAGCTGCACTGGCCCTTAACAAGAGAGTCAGCCTGCCTTTAAAGCCAAGTATTGACTTCTCTTTAGCTGTGAAAGTCCTAGATGGCATCTTCTTCCAATATAAAGCTGCTTTGTCTACACTGAAAATCTGTTGTTTAGTGTAGCCACATTCATCACTGATCTTTGCTAAATCTCTTGGATAACTTGCTGTAGCTTCTATATCAGCACTTGTTGTTTCACTTTGGTTTTTTGTTTGTTTGTTTTTTGAGACAGTCTTGCTCTGTCACCCGGGTAGAGTCACTGTAGTTCACAGCAATCTCAAACTTCGGGGCTCAAGCGATCCTCCTGCCTCAGCCTCCTGAGTAGCTGGCACTACAGGCACAGGCCACCATGGCCAGCTAATTTTTCTGTTTTTAGTAGAGACGGGGTCTCGCTCTTGCTCAGGCTGGTCTCAAACTCCTGAGCTCAAGCGATCCTCCTGCCTCAGCCTCCAAGAGTGCTAGGATTATAGGTGCAAGTCACTGCCCCCGGCGTTTACCTCATACTTTGATGTTACAGTGTGAGGTGTAAAGTTCTTTCCTTCCTTAAACCTCATAACCACCCTCTGCCAGCTTCCAACTCTTCTTCTGCAGCTTCCTCACCTCTCTCAGCCTTCGTAGAACTGAAGAGAGTCAGCCCCTTGCTCTGGATTAGGCTTTGGCTTAAGGGCATGTTGTGCCTGGCTTGACCGATCCAGACCACTACAACTTTCCGCATATCAGCAATAAGGCTACCTCACTTTCTTTTCACTCGTGTGTTCCCTAAAGTAGCACTTTCTTATTTCCTTCGAGCGCTTTCTTTTGCATTCACAACTTGGCAAACTGGCCAAGAGGCCCAGCCTTCAGCCCATCTGGGCTTTCAACATTCCTTCCACTACACTTTGTCACTTTTAGCTGCTGGTTTAAAATGAGAGATGTGTGACTCTACCTTTCACTTGAACATTTAGAGGCCGCTGTAGGGTTATTGATTGGCCTAATTTCAATATTGTTGTGTGTCAGGGAACAGGGAGGCCTGAGACAGACGGGGAACGGCTGGCCGGCGAAGCAGTCAGAGCACACACGATGTCGATCGATTGAGTTTGCCGTCTTATTTGGGTGTGGTTCGTGGCGCCCCAAACCAATTACAATAGTATTATCAAAGGTCACTGATCACAGATCACCACAACAGATATAATAATAACGGAAAAATGTGAACTATTTCAAGAATTACCAAAATGTGACACAGACACGAAGTGAGCACATGCTATTGGGAAAACGGCGCAGTCTCACTCAACACAGCGTTGCCACAAACCTTCAATTTGCAAAAAAGCGCTATCTGCAAAGTGCAATAAAGCGAGATATGCCTGTATGTTCTCTCATTTAGTCCCAGGAGGGGTCCCGTTTTAAAGAGGGGGAAACTGTTGCTCGCCTCCCTGGACGACCAGGATTCAAAACAGTCTGCCTGACCAGCAGCTGCTGAGTTTATTATCCACATTTGCAAAGCCTTGATGAAGAGTTCAAAGAAGCCGGCTCCTCTCCTTCCCTCCTGCCTGCTGCACTCTGCTTGCACGTCCTCCCTCCCTTAACTCCTGCTGCTCAGGGCCTCAGCATAGAAGGACTCTCTGCATTTGTCTGAGTGTGACCAGGGTTTCTCACTGGAGCCCTCCTGCAAACTTGCTATGTGACCTGGACAAGTCCCTTCCCCTTGGACTTCAGAAAAGCAAGGTGGTTGGAGCAGGGCCCATTAGCATCACCTGGAGAAGCATCTTAAACACACTGATGCTGGGCCCCACCCAGAGTCTGATTTAAGGTCCTGCATGGGACATCAGAGTTTAAAGCTCCCCGGGGGATCCCAGAGGGCACCCAGGCCGAGAACCATGGGGCCAGAGGATCCCTAGTCCCTTCTGCTTAGTTTCAGAGTTTGTGAGCTCTGCCTGGGCCACACTCGGGAAAATCTCCTGGAGTCGGGCACTTGGGTTACCAGGAAAGGAGGTCAACAATCCAAGCTGTTTAACCCCAGATGGGAAAGGGATTAGAGCTGTCACCTTAAGCCACAAAGGGAAACACTCTTTATCTCTGTGTCCAGCTGAGTCCCCAGATGAACTTGGCCTCCATTCGCACCCAGCCAGGGCTAGCTCTCTGTCCTGGCGGGGCCTTCTAGAATGCAGGCCTTTGGCTCCTGCTTCTGCAGCCTTAGCTGGGTGAGAGGGAGAGTCCTCTCCCTCTTTCTCTGGGGCC